GAATCCAAGCAGTCAGTAAAAACCAGAAGAAAATATAAATAAAACAAAACACAACTCTAAAGGGTTTGTTCATAAAAACCTAAAATATTCCCCCCCCCCCCCCCCCCCCCCTCTATTCCGTTAGAATATGTCCCTGTCTAAAACTCTATCGTCATTCTGATACAAGGTTGTAGTTTCTATTTAATATTATAATGCTACTGTATCCTATAAGGTATCTTCTAGTTCTATTGTTAGTTATATATAGTCTTTCTATTTCACCTAGTATTTTATATAGATTCTATTCTATAGTTTAACCTTTTATTTATCTAAAATATATTCTATAGTTTAACCTTTTATTTATCTAAAATATATTCTACTTTATACTCTTTCTCTCTATTAACTATAATTATTAAGGGTTAAAAATTATATTACTACTATAAAAGTAATAAATTAGTATTTATAGAGTATACTAGATTTATATAGCATACTAGATAGATACTTAATAATATATTTAATTATATAATATATATATTTACTATATCTAATATATAGTAGTAAGTATTTTTCTAATCTAACTTTTAGTAGGGTTATTTAGTCTTTAGATTCTTTAGATTTAGTTATATATTATCTCTTTTATAATAAATAATAATAAACTTTTAATAGTGATTTATATATAGTTTAGTCTATTAACTTATATATACTATAGAGACTTTTCTAATCTATAACTATAGTAAGCTATCTTATAATATACTTAGTTATTTAAATTAGACTTTAGGGTATTCTATTATTATTATTTAAAAAATTATTAGAGAATAGTAATAAATTATATCTATATATTAAAAAGAATAGATTAACTTCTATTAATATTACTATTTTTTTATTTATAGTTAATTTAGCTATAGATAGTAGATAATTTTAATTATTCTATTTATATTATATAATATAAAGGTTATACATTTACAGGTATATTACCCTATTGGTCAGATAAGGATACGATAATCCGGAGAGAAGGAAGGAAGATAATATTCAGGGATCGCTATAGAATTAGGGCCTATTCGGTAATAGTTCAAGACTGATTCTTAGAGAATCAGTCGAAGTAGAGAAAACCTCTTTTATACAGAAGCCTCAGGTAAAGTCACCTAATCCCCTATAACTGATCCTCAGAATATAGAATTTATATGGTTCTGTCAACTATTGAGTCTCTAAATTATCCTTTATAATTATACTCCCTTCCCAATACAAACTTTCTATAAGTAAGAATAGCTTATCTTCTAAAAAATTATATATAAAAGACCTTTAAATCGATTCTAATTCAGTAAATATATCTATTTTATAATCCTAAAATAATACTTATAAATTCTTTTAAGATCTAAAATACTTCTTTATTAGATAAAATCTATTATATCTATAATCCTACATATTTAAAGAATAAGAAGGTAAATATTACCTTTCTTAACTAATCCTTATTATAATCTTTCTCTATCCTTTAAGTAATACTATCAAATTAATCTAGAATATTAGTCCTATTCTATATAAAAAATCTTTTTATAAACTTTATATTCTATACATTTTATTTTAAGAAATTAAAAATAGAATTTAATCTAAAAGATTATACACTCTTTAAAATAAACTATAAACTCCCTTTTTAAAATATTTATAAATATACTATATATATTAAAATAAAGAAATCTTATAAAAAAATAGATTATTCTTCTCTATTAAATTATTCCTATTAATATTATAATAAAGCATTAATACAATAATAGGAGATCTTTTCGATCTTATATAGATTATCCACTAATTATATAAATGGTATAAAGTCTTTACTATTATAAGTAGACTTTTAGTTTAGAGTTTTAAAATAATAGAGACTATCGGAGAAGGGTTAGATTAATTAATTATTATATATTAAATTATTTATAAAATCTAGGCTATAGAATAGAATTATAAAAGAGATAAAATAGAGAAAGTAATAGATATTTAAATGTGATTTAGAGATTTTTTATTAATTATTCCTCTTTAGAAACCCTCTTATACTATAGAGGAGATACTAAATATATAATAACTAACTTAGTTATTTAAAGTCCTATACTTCTTATATAAAGAATCTAAAGATCTTTTTTATAATTAAATCCTTTAGATAATTTAATAGTTTCTCTATTTACTTCTAAATAATATTAGATTCTCTACCTAGAATACTATAAAATATAGGTTTCTTAAATTAGTAATAATAGAGATTAAGAATATTATTATAACTATTATAATAGATTCCTTTAATTCTATAATTATACTATTAGTTTAGGATACTAGTTTCTTAGCTTCTATAGATTATATAGTATATATAAATAATATAAAGATATTCTTCTCTATATTTAGTTTCCTTTTAGAGACTTAATAAAGATTTAGATTTAATTTATAATAAATATAATTATTTTTTAGATTTTAATATAAAGTAAGGTTTTTAGTTTAAATAGTAAAATAAAGATATTTTAATAGGATTTTAATTTTTAGGTAATCTTTCTTATTTAAGTAATTAATAAATAGATTATTTACTCTTTATTTAACCTTTATCTATCTTCTCTATAAATATTCTATCTTAGATATTCTCCTTTCTTTCTTTTTTACTAATCTTATCTTCCTAGTATTTAGAGGGATCTTAAATATTTAATAATCCAAAAAGAATATAGAAAATAATCATAGTATAGATAATATACTTCCTTCTTATAAAATTTATATAAATGATAGAAAATAGTTCTATATCTTCTTTCTTTATTAATTTAAAGATAATCTACTAATATCCTCTATAGACTATCTAACTATAAAAGAAATCAAATAGAAAAGGATATCTTAATAATTTATAGACAGATTAGGATTATTCCGATTGTTTCTTCTTTAGATAGGAATCTATAAACCTTTATATATCATTTATATTATCTTCGGAGATCTATTAATTATATTCTAATAGCTAACCTATCTATTTAATTAAATAATACCTCTTATCTTTAATATTTTAATTATTCTGGATTTTCTTAATTTCCTATTTATTATTATTTTTAAGATTAGATATTAGTAGTGAATTAGGGTTATTTAGGTAATTTTTCTAT